TATGGTTTTTTTATATTATAAATTGATATATTTACTTGGATAAACTTAATTTGATTACCTGTAACAAATTAACTTTCATTAATTATGTAATATAACTTATTTATTGTTTTGTTTAGCACAGTATGTTTAACAGCACATTAATACAATGACTTGGTTTTAATTACAAATGTCTGATTATTATTGTGTCGGTAAATAATAAATGATACATAAATTGAGATAAGGATTAAATACGTTTTCACTTCTTCCTGCTCATTTTAAGACAGAAAAGCAGTGATAAGTTAATAATTTTGTTCTTGGTTTTGTTTTCTCTTGTCCTACTGATTACTTGTTTTTAAAAACTGGTTTGAAATAAATGAATGAAAATGAAATTACTTTAAGTTGGATCACCTGTTTATTTATTTATTTATTTTTTGGTGAAAATAAGATTCAGGATAGTAAAAATAAAAACAAAGGGCCATACTAAATTAAAAATGAATTAAAATTACGAGAATAAAATCAAAATATTACAAGAATAATGTCAAACTATGAAAAAAAGTCACAATATTATGAGAACAAAGTTGTAATATTATAGCTTAATTCTCGTATCATTTCAACTTAAACTCTTATGACTTTATTCTCACACTTTCATTTATTTTTATTTTCTTAGCTTCACCCTAATACTCCATCGTAGCTAAAGAATATCAGTTCAGCATGAACTAAATGCAGCTCTGGAAAAAAAGGAGGCCACCTAAAATGATCAGTTTCTCTGATTTTACTCTGTATAAATACATATTTGAGTAAAATGAACATTGCTCTTTTATTCTATGAACTACTGACAACATGTCTCTGAAATCCCAAGCAAAAATTTAGTATTTATTTGCAGAAAATGAAAAATGGTCAAAATAAAGAAAAAGATGCAGAGCTTTCAGACCTCAAATAATGCAAAGAAAACAAGTTTATATTCATTTAGAAACAAAAATACTAATATTTTAACTCAGAAATCCGTGTCTGGTGGAGTAACCAGCAGGTTTTCAGTGGGATTCAGTGCAGTGGGCTCTTAGTTTTTCCAGAGCTGTAGTTCAGACGTGCTCCTGCTGCCCCAGGATGCGTGGCGCCCTGGGTGACGAGCCACATTGAACATCTGAGAAACGTGTCTATTGTAGTCTGGGATCTCCTGCATAAAATCCCATGAGAAAATAAATGAGAAAAACGTTCAGAGTATGAGCATTTAATTTTATTTATTTTTATTTTCGTCTAGCATTTAGCAGGGAACGAAAACCAAATCTGAGGATTTAATCTTTGCATGTTTCGCAGGCAGTTGTCAGTTTCATGAACTGTTGCATAACCTCGTGCTGCCCCGGCATTACGGCTGCTGGGGGATTGTCATCCAGCTGAAACGGACGCAGACGCGCATGTGCTGATGCGTTTGGCACCGATGTGTCGTCAGTTCGCTGGATGTTGACGCAGCGATCTCCAGAAGGTGTGTGTCACCGCACGCGCGCGCGTCCACCGTCTGCGCGCGCGCCCCTCCCTCTGTGACTCGCAGCATCACCGGGAGCCCAGCGATGCTGCTGTGAAGAATATATTTACGCTTCACGACCAGAGAGAGAGAGAGAGAGGCAGGCGTGATATCTGAATGCGTAATTCGCGGTGGGATGATTTGATGCGTGAGCTTGCGTGAACGCGGTCCCGTTTGGAGACATTTCCTCCCAACAAGCTGCTGATTTTTAGGTGTTGCCTGCAGCTGAGGTTGATGTGAAAACGCGTCTTTCTGCGTTGGATTTTTCCAAGGGCACCGAAATGCGGCAGCGATGAGCTGCGAGCGAGCGAGTCGGTTTGAGTTGTCAGAGTCTCATCCAGGATTCGAGCTCTCCTCACTTTGACCACTGCCTGATTTTTATTTTTTTTGTGTGTGTTGTTTTTTTGGAGGGGGGGATGCGACGTCATGAGCCTGATCCCGTCTGACAGATGTGTTGCAGCTGCACAGGCACAGATCGTCCGATCCGGCGTGTTGTTTTAACTATGATTCTGTAAGAGGAGGAAGCCCGGAGAAAAGCGTCTTTCGACATCAATGTCCGATCCCCTCCTTGGTGCACGGACGGATCGCAGCCCGCATTTCATTTTCGGCTCTGCATAAGATGATACCTGGATCTGCCGCATCAATGCTACCGTCTGCAGAAGCCGCGAAACTGTACCAGACCAATTACGTCCGCAACTCGCGTGTCATCGGACTCCTGTGGGCCATTTTCACGATCCTGTTCGGCATCGTTAACGTGACCATCTTCTCGCAGCCCTATTGGATCGGGGATGGCGTGGACACCCCGCAGGCTGGCTACTTCGGCCTGTTTCACTATTGCGTCGGGGACGGACACTCCCGGGACCTGGACTGCCAGGGCAGCTTCACCGAGTTCTCCGCCATCCCCTCCAGTGCGTTCAAGGCCGCCTCCTTCTTCATTGGAATGTCCATGATGTTGGTGGTCACCTGCATCGGCTGCTTCAGCCTCTTCTTCCTCCTCAGCACCTCCACCGTGTACAAAATCTGCGGCTGGATGCAAGCAGCATCAGGTAGGTCCGCAAACCTCACCGTGCTTTAAATTAAAAATCAAACTGGTTTAAGGCTCAGTCGGTCTGTTTTTATTATTTTTGATTGGTTTTGAGAAAGTCTTTTAACTACGGGTGCACCAATTGGAGTTTTCTGACCGACCTCTAAAAAGCCGGTTCCGGTTTTAGCCGATTTTTTTGTCTGAAATGTGGCTAAAATAGCACACACACACACACACACACACACACACACACACACACACACACACAAAAGTTGCTGAGTTGGCAACAGTTAACTGCCAATATGGTGGACCGATGTTTCAGCCAAACGTCGATTTCTGATCATCAGAATATAACCGAGTTTTAGGCCTTTGCTGAGGTAGAAAATTTTATTGGATAAAACTGACTTCACATGTAACCTTTAATTTCCCCAAATTAAGTAAATCTGCGCTGATAAATAATCCGTTCACCCCTATTTTAAACCCTCATGAAATACGCATTTATTTATCTATAAGCTGATCATATTAACCTATTATTGGAGTACAACAATTGGAAATAAGTAAAATATTGTCTTAAAATGTAGTTGTAGAGCGGAATTGGCTGATTTTCCCTTAATCAGTTCTGATCAGTCTAATTATAAATTTATTTCAGATGTTTTCACTTCCTGCTCATTAAATTAATCAAAACTAAGAAATCCTCCCTTTTTCCATCTCTGAGAACTTGTTGCATATTATTGACCTTTTCTTTCTTATGGTTCATTGTGTTTTCATCTGAAGAGTATGTCTGTATTTTTACGTATTTGATTGTTTTATACCTTGTTGCGCTGCAGGGATGCAGTTGTGACTATTGTTGCCTCGCAGCACAAAGGTCCAGGATTCAAATCCTGTCCAAAGTCCATTTTTATAGAGTTTGCATGTTTTCTCCAGCTTCCTCCTCCAGATAAGAAAACATGCATTTCAGCTTCATTTCTTTAGTTACTAGTGTTGTTCTCATGTTTTGCTCGTTGACTGATGGAAATAAGTGCCAGAAGCCCTGCAGGAAATAAGCAGTGAGGAATAGAAAATGTCTGGTTGGATAAATGATTTTCATATAAATTTGATCCATCAAAGCCTTAAAATTCAAAAATAAATCTTTATATTGGACAATATTCTTAATATAACTCTGATCAATGCTTACACTAAGAAAATATAATTGTTTAAACAATTATGTATGACAAATAAAATACACTGATTTACATTAAAAGTGATTGAAAAGCAGATGAATAATTGAATCGCGGTAGTTCGGTCTGTGGTGTTGAAATGTTTTAGACGTCTTGCTCTGTATCTGAGTTAGTTTCTGACTCCGCTGTTCTTTTTTTAGACGCCAATTTTCAACAGTAGATCATGAATTGTGTCCAAAACATTTTAGTTTTTGAAAAGAAAAAAACAAAAACAACTTTATTTTGATATTCCTAAATAAAAGCAGGTGGACATCACTTGGTTCAGTTTAATTTATACACTAAATTACACACCAAGTAACTATACGCTGCATAATTTGAGTATAATTTATACTCAGCATAAATACTAAATATTGTTTGGACCTCAGAGTTTCACTACAGAAGGACTTTATCACAGAAAAATCTTCTTCTTATGTTGCAAACTTTCTACTAAATACCATTTAGCTCTATGAATACAACTAAAACTGCATCATTGTCCCATTTTGAGTTGCTTACATAACACACAGGATGCATCTAACCCAGTCTGAGCCAATGTTACAATGACCAGATTTCCTTCTGAGTTCATGCAATCAAATGTGTAATTTCTTTTTGTGGTTTTAAGAACAAATCCGAGTAAAGGTCGACGGTTGAGCTGCAGCATTTTGTCGTTTGTTGTGACTGTGGGTGAAAGTCATCATTTCATCTGAAGAGTCCAGGCTTTGCCAAGCATAAGTCCTCTCAGCAGTAGCAGCAGCAAAGTTTTGAGTTTTTAGGTTTGCACTTAAAAAACTGAAAGAAGAAAAAGTGGGAACTATTTCCCAGAATGCTTAGCGGCATGTTTCTGTCTCCTGAGGTGGAAGTGCGTTACGTTGATCTGACTCTGGTGTTTTATTAAGGCAAATGTTCATTTTAATGCAATTCTCAGTCAGCAAAGCTTGAGGATAATGTCCTGATCACACTAAATGTTTCTGAGCTGAATTCATTGAGATGTTTAATAAAATTCATCATCAGATCAGAAATTTAGTTCAAACAAGAATTTAAATTATTCTAAAGTAAAATCAGTATTTATTTTAACTTGATATTGTGAGTAAAATAATAAAAAAAATGTGGCTCTTTAACTGGGTGAGGGCAGATTTTTAGCTAAAACTCACAATTCAAGATTAATGAAGTTAAAAAACAATGTTTTAGACAACTTGTCTTTTGTTATTAAATCAACTTTATGAACTTTAATTTCTGAGTTTACACCAAAACAATTTTCTTGTGACTTAAATTGCATTTTCCAGGCAGCAGGTGGACTTTGATTGTCAGGTTAAACCAGCTGTAAATGTTTTACAGTGCAGTTATTTTGTAACAGCTCCATCTTGAGTTGTTGTGTTGGGCTGAATTAAGGCAATAAGCTTCTCTAATGAGGCCACTGCTGGTTTCACTGCAAGGACATGAGAGAGAAAGCTAAGAGAAGAGGTGCTGGTCATGGCAGTCTGACACAGGGAGGCCTGGCTTATTAGCGCTGTCAAACATTATCACTTAGCTGATGTTTAAACTCACACCTTTCCTGAGTGGCCCACAGGGAGGACAGGTGGCTCATCAACATCCACACACCATCAGCGTGACGGTGATAAACGGCACGTCAGCCTGCCAAGAAGAGCGCAAAGGAAAGACGAATTTGTTTTTGTGTCCTTTCACAGTTTGTCACCTTGAAGGATTTTCGGAGCGCAGTGTACGTCAAAGCTCGTGGCTCTGAACGGATCTGAAATAAAAAGTGACAGAGGGTCAGCCTCCGCTTGTTTTCTGCCGTGCTGCTGCTGCTGGAAGGCTTGGAGGACATTAATGACACAGTCAGTATTCAGGGCACTGCTCTCTGCTACATGGCATCAATCTTTCCTTCTGCTCCTGCGAGCATCATCACGGGTCACTCCACAGACGCACATGCAGAGGGATTGATGCTGCAGCTTTGAGCTAGCATGCTAACAACTAACAAGGTTATTTAAAACCAAATGATTTTAAAAAGGTTTGCAAATTTATCATTTTATATTATATACCGTTAGACGTGAGAGAAGACGATGCATCGCTTTTATATTCTGGCAGTACATGGAAATGTTGAGATGTTTTAACCAGGCATTTGTTAATTAGATGCATCCATATTTTAACTACAAACTGCATTTTGTTGTGATTTTGTTGCATAGAGCCAGAATATAACAGACATTTGGTTCTCAATTTTCTTAACGAATGAAAATCTGAAAAGTGGGATTAGCACTTTTATTTACTCCAACACGTCTAAATAAAATTCAGGACAAAGTTTAAAGTTAAGCTAGCACTAGCTTTAAACACTAGGTTTAAAGCTAGTGCTAGCTCTAAAGCTAACACTACTAACACCAGCTAACACTGGCTTTACAGCTTAACCCCAGTATTAGCTGGGGTTAAGCTGAGTTAATACTGAGATGAGAAAAGATGAAGACTAGCAGCGCTAACTGTAGCTGTATAGAGACTTAAATTTGTCACTCTAATGTGACAAAATTTCAAAAATAAAAAGGGTTTGAATATTTATCAAGTTATCGTTGATGCAGTGGTTTTTTACCTGATGTCAAACGTGCTAAGAATTGCAGTTGCAATTGCAGAACTGGCACATATTTCCTTCCTTTTCCTTGGAAGAGTTTTTTGCTGAATATTTAATAAAGTGGCCAGCGTCCAGGACTTGTTAGAAGTCTCACAGCGTCTACATGACAGCTGGAGCTGAGTGCACAGATCTATGATGCATCCATAATGCCCTGGACGGAGCCAGATTCGTCTTTTAGAGCTAATTCTGAGCGTCTGCAGGTTCATGGCATGGAGATGTGACTGTGCATTTTCTGCTGAGCTGAGCAAACTAAGACTTTTCTCTCAGTCCTTCCATCTTTTCACCTCATCTCTTTTCACCTCTTGTTTTCTGTTCTTAAATCTGTGCAGTGTGTGTTCATCTTTTCTCCCATCTTTGAACCGAAGTCATTTTGAAACCTGCAGACCAGATAAAGAATATTTTGAGGCCATTTTTAATCACCACTACGTTTCATACGTGTACACAGCGGCCGCTGCGGGGCTTTTAAAGTCTTACTCCAGTATAAATAAAGTATGAGGTTTTCCTTTGTAGTAAGATTTTGTATGGGAGGCACTTTCTGCCTGGTTGCTTTGATTGTAGCCTGATCTGCATGAAACAAACTTCATGTGAGATTTTGTATTTTTTCAGTAACAATTAAAGCTCCATTTCTGCTCCATTACCTACATATGTTCTTCATTTACAAATTAAAACTTCTTTCTCATCCATGCATCACTGTTTCCTCATGCAACCATAACCTAACTGCTTTAAACAGCTCTGCTCCTGACTGGCATTTTAGAAATGAAGTGACTTCTAATGACGTAAGATTTTATTTGGGGGTGTCAGAGTTTCTTCTTCGCTTGACTTTCATTTTCAAGTTGAACCACCTTCGAGTGTTTTACAGTGTACACTTCATCTCTCCTTTCCTGCCACCTTGTTAGCGTCATCAGCTCTGTTGAGAGGTTTTCTCTGAAAACGGCTTTAACGTGTCTGAGCCGCTTCAGTTTTACCGAGATGAGGCGGTTCTGTGTAGAGCAGATTACTGAGGCAAACACGAAGGTCCGACTTACAGAGAGGTCGGTTTATTCATCAGGTTGCAGGCATCTTTGAAGAAAACGCCACAACGGTGTAGAAATTAAACAGGACTTATTTTTTTTTTATTGAAATGCAAAGTCTGACGCTGCTTTGATGGAACAACCTGACTCTGTAGATGTTCATATTCAAGGTTTTTTGTGACGAAGTGATCCTTGCAGAGCCGTCATTTGTCCTTCATGGCTCCTCAGTCGTCGTTACAACCAGGGTTTGGTTATTCGTCTCACATTTTAAATAGAGAAACTGTTAAACTGAAGCACAACAGCTCTGACGAAAGGCTCCGTCACCAGGACAACTGTTATCTATCATCCACTGCACAACGACGACCTCCATGGAAGAAGGCGTTTAAAAAGAAGTGGAGCACTGGAAAAATACTAAATACAAAATGGTTTTTTTTTGTCTTTTTTTCTAGAGCAAATTTCAAATAAAACAAAACTAACCTACAAGTAACTTTTCATCAGGATAAGAGTTTGTTTTCAGTAAATAATTCCTTACTATTAATTTAAAAATGCAGATTATCTCAATTATAAACAAAACATTTTCCCATGTTATAAGTGGAATAATCTGCCGTAGGAGCTAGCACTTTTTCATCAGTACTAAGCAGTTTTTAACTTAAAATAAATCTGTTATCTTGATGAAAAGTTATTTCTAAGATATTTTTTTGTTTTAATTCAAATGTACTTCACCCTAGAAACCAGTCAGAAATATTTGGTAAGATTTTCTGTTTTAGCAGTGAGGACAAAGTGTTATTCTGATTTAATCAACTGAAACAAAAACAAACTGTTTGACCGAAGAAAACAAAAAGAAAACCCACCAAAAAGAAATATATTTCTGTGGGATTCAAAACCAAAACTTACAGGCACAGCACCATAAAATGTAATTCTTTTATTCTTTTTAAATTCAACAGTTTCTCAGGGTTTTCTTTTTACTTGCATAACTGGAAACAAAACATATTTTAAGACAGCAAAGAATTTCTGTAGAAAAAGAGCATTTTTAATCATTTTATAAATATAACACCTGCAGATTTTCTTTGCATTTTTTTCCATTTTTCTGTGTTTATTCTCAGCAACAAGGCCAGGATAAAAACTCCTGTTTTATTTAGCCAAGTTTAATCAATCAAAGTTATTTCAGCAACAGGCAGTTTAAATAAAAACAAAAATACAAAATCATGCAGTCAATTAAACCATTTCATTTTCAGCCGTTTCACATCAAAATGTTGGCTAATGTTTTACTTATTACGGTTCCAAAGCGACTGTAAGCAGGTGGGACTTTAGTCTTGATTTAGAGGAACTCGGTGTTTCGGCTGTTTTGCACTTTTCCAGAGGTTTGTTCCAGATTCATGGTGCACAGAAGCTGAATGTTTACTACCAAAATCTGCACGTTTGTGGTCATGTTTACTACGAACTGGATTAAAAGTGTTAGTATCTGAAGCATGTAAATAAACTAACAGCTACAGGAATTCATATTTAAATCTGATCATGGATTATGAAGCCATTTTGCTTCTGAAAGTTTTAAAAAAGCTTTAAAATGTTTTCCAGCTCCAAGCATGACGTTTGAACTGATATTTACAGTTTCTGTGTGGATATCTTGCATTTTAATGTTGGTTTATATTTCAGTGGTAAAATAAAACTGCATGGCCCTAACCTGACAGTGTGTCAAACTGGAGGCTCGGGGGCCAAATCTGGCCCGCCATAGCTCTTTATGTGGCCCTCTAGACTCCAAAGTACATCAATAAGTCCTTCTAGTTTTTCACAAGTTCATGCAAAATTTACACAAAATCAACAGATCCCCACATTTTTTCTGATTTTATTGATATTTTTTTCTCAAAATTGGTCAAAAACACTGACTCCAGTGACTGCTGCCGCAGCCTTACGTCACCTCAAGTTATATCTGTGAAACGACGATTAATAAAAAGTCACATTTAACATCAGAGATTAGTGTAAATATTGTACAAATTCCTTACAAATATTTCAAAATTAGCACCACAAAACCTGTGATTTTTCATTACAGAAAAACCACCAAATGCTGGATGGACTGATCAGTGAGAAAAGATGTTTAATATTATTTTATTTTAAGAAACACTTTTTGAATGCTGATTTTTTTTAAAGCAATTTAATGGGTTTTATTACTACATTGTGGCACAACCGGCCCTTTAAGAGCATTTTCGACTTTAGATTTGGCCCAGAATGCAGCTGGGTTCAGCATCGCTGCTCCAGCGTCTATTATCAGCGAGAACTCAAAGGTCTCTTTGATCGCCGCGCGCCTCGGCGGTTTTTATCCTCTGTGGAGGTTCAGCTGCATCTGGAGCCGTTACATAAGCGCTTTGCTCCACCCCGACTCTCTCCTGCTTCACTCGTTGCGGTTTTACAGCGAACCCCTCCCCCACTGTGCCCCCTGCAACTCTGCTTTAACCTGAACCCGCCATGTCGGCTTCAGCTGCAGAGATTTTGTCACCTTAAAGGACGAATTTGATCAATTAGTAGCACATCGACAGCCTTGCATTACTTCCTGGGGTCCATGTTTCAGCGTATCGTCTGAGAAGTCTTAATTATAGAGTGTAAAGACGGATTTAACTGAGAAAGATGAATGTAATCAGTGTCGATCTACACCCTCGTCGTTTAACTGCCAAGCTCACAGAACGAAGAAACTGAAGGGGAAGTTTGAGTCCGACTACCGGCTCAGATTAATCTAAACATTTCTGAGGTCTTTTTCTCTCAAATTTTTGACTTCTGGAGCCCAGAAATTTCCTTGTTTTTTCTAGAAAGTTTCTGAGATTGGTCTCAAAATTCATGAAGCTTTTAGCAAATTTTCTACTTCTGGAGTTCAGAAATTTCCATGTATTTTTCTTTAAATTTTCTGGGGTTAATATAAAAATTTCTGAGTTTTTTTTTCTGTCAAATTTTTGACTTTGTGAGCCCAGAAATTTCCTTGTTTTTTCTAGAAAATTTCTGAGAAGTTTGAGTCAGACTAGCATCAATGTTGAATCCATTTCAGGAGAAGAAAAAGGACGTTTCTGAGCTCCAAAAGTAAAAAATCTGCATGAAAAAAAAAAAGAAAACAGAAAATTTCTAGAAACTCCAAAATACACAATTTTGTTCTAGATTTTTGTGTTTTTGCAGTGACAGAAACAAAGTATCGTTCTATTGCAGTACTGTCCTTTGTTAGACTTTCTTTGAGTCGCTTTGGGCCGCGACGCTGCGCCATATTGAATCAGAGCACTTCCTGCTGCCTTCAGGGTAACACTGAAAAAAGCAACACACTTCTATGGGAGCATAATGTGCAAAACTTCCACCTGTTTTTTGAGGAGAACAGAGAGGATTTGATGAAATAAAGCCTGTGAATTGAGTTAAAAGGTAAGTTCCAGGCATGATGTGCTTGTTGGGCAAAAAAAAAAAAAAAACAGCACAGAAGTTTTTATTGAGTGGAATATAAAAGGATGCCTGGAAGCTTCCTGCTTCCCTCCAGCAAACCATCAAGTGTTTGCCAGTCGCTGGAGCAGAAATAGACTTGGACTGGAGACAGCTCATCTCAAAAACACGCTCTTCTTCTTCCAGGGGAGACTGTCAGAGTCACTTTTAAAAGTTTCTCTTGCTCTACTTTCAGCTGCCTTTTTGACACTTTCACGTTAATTTCATTTTTAGAACCGTCTTAAATTGGTGTCCAGCTGTCTTCAAACATATTCAGTCCCTACTCGCCGAAAGTTTGACACATTTTCAAGCTAATTGTCTCTCATTGCTATTAGAGTATCTCTTCTCAAAGCTCTCATCATGGAGACGTTTCTTTGTTCGCTGTCCCCCTCATAAGGCTTGTGCAACTTTACGACACATTTTCACACCTCATTTATTCTCACTGCATGCATAATACACTCTTAATTGCCCCATTAATCTACAAGTGATTAGGGCATATTATTGTCTCCGTCTCAGGCCATCTCTCAGCGTATCCGGTCATCACTGCAGCCTCTGAGAAGTCTTAATTATTGAGTGTAAAGAGGGACTTAACTGTGAGAACGATGGATGTAATCTGTCTCATCGTTTGCCTGTAAAGCTCACAGAACGGAAAAACTGGAGGGGAAGTTTGAGTCAGGAAAGCTTCAGCGTTGAATCCATTTCAGGAGCAGAAAAAGAAAATCTTGTTTGGTGGTGAAAACAGAATTTTATGTGAGATTGTTATTAGCAATATTTTATGGGCATCTACTCACTTTAACTAATAAACTGTGTTTCAAAGGATCTGTAGTGAGAGGAGAATATTCCTGTCCAGGTTTGTTGAGTTTCTACATCATTTGTTTGTGATTACTAAAATCTGAGGGGCATTAAATGAAAAAAAGACTATGAAAATGAAATAAAATACAGTTTACATTGATCTCAAGCTGCATGTTAAATTACTGACCGTGTTTTACTTAACAGATACTTTCTGCCCAATTCACATCGCAGTATACATCAAAACCGGTACTATGGCAGATACACGAAAAGGAGGGAGTAAATACCTGCCAAAAACTAAGAAATTTGGAGACTAATTTCAGAAATATTGTAGAAAAAATTGGGACATTTTTAGAGCTCTGGAATTCAAAAATTAGCGAGAATTTTTTTTTATTTTCTAGAAAAAACAATGACAATTCTGAGCTGTAGAAGTCAAACATTTGCAAATAAAAAAAAGTCAAAACAAATTTTTTTCAGAAAGTCAGAAATTTCTCAACTTCTGAAACATTCCTAGTTTTTTTTTTCTAAAAAATGTCTGAGATTAAGCTAAATTTTTCTGATTGTTTTTTTTCTAGCAGATTTTTGACTTTGAAAGGTCAGAAACTTCCACTTTTTTTCTTGAAATTTTCTGAGAATAATCTAAGAATTTCTCATTTTTTTCCTCCCAAACGTTTGACGTTTGGAGCCCAGAAATTTCCTTGTATTTTTCTCGAAAATTTCTGAGATTAATATAAAAATCTATAAGGTTTTCCCATGTTTTTTTTTTCTGGAAATTTTCTGAGTTTAATCTCAAAATCTCTCTTTTTATTTTCCAGCAAATTTTTGACTTTTGGAGGTCAGATTTTATTTTATTTCTTTTGAAAAATTTTGCAGAAATCCACTCCTCCTTTGTGTAGCTACAGCAGCCCTCACCGAACAGGATTTGCTGCAGAGGGTTTGGCCTGTCCGCCGGCCGCTCACTGACCTCTGCGCCTGCTGCATGGAGACAGAAACTCGTAGAGACTCGCTCTGTGCACAGGGCGAGTCACGGCAGGAGAGAACTGCTGCACGGCCCCCCGGTTCTGCCTGAGGCTCCTGCATCCAGCCTCAGCGGTGTGAGTCACGTCAGGCGCCCAGCTGAGCCGTCACACCGCGCCTGCATGCCTCCCTCCGCCTGGAGCTTTCTCTGGAAACAGACATGCAGATGAAAAGATGACACAAATCTCTACAGGGCTGATGGGTCACCCAAATCACAAGCCTAATTTTTAGGCTGTTTTAATTAAAGCAATGAATATTGTTTTATTTTTTACACTTATTTGACTCCCCTACCTTCTGTTGTCTTAAAATACATGATATTAATATAAAACCTGCAGGATTTTCAGACTGATTATGAAACTGAGGCAAACACTCGTTTGGATATTCATACGAAACCCCACTGGGATAAACGCTCAACGCAACCAGCAGGATGTTTGCTCCGATTTTCCCCTGAAACGACCTCATCACAGCCTCAAAGCTGCCACTCTGGGAGTTTAGAAAACATTTCAAATTCTGTCCATCATGGTGAGAAAAGCCCAAAGGTGCTTTGAAAAGACATCCGCCCACCAGAGATTTCACTTTTTTTTTTTTTTCAAACTCAAATGTTTCAGACCATCAAACACATTTTAATATTTTACAAACACAACCTTAGTTTATCCCAAAGTCAGTCCTAAAAGAAAAAATACATTCATCGAAGGAGGGGGGAAACTTTTTAAACCATCATGTCCTTTTGTAAAAAGAAAACAAAAAATAAGCCCAGCTAGAGGGTATTTAAGCTACTTGTTTAATGTCAGTGCATCACACTTGATTTGACTAGGCCATGCCAAAACCTTCTTTTCTATTTTAACTCTTGTCACATTTGGAAGTGGACGCATCGGTGTGCCTTGGAATATTTTCCCACTTTATAACCCGAATGAACTTCAGCTTAAGGTCGGACGTTTTTATTCAGGATTTTCTGCAGAATTTATGGTTTGTTAGTAACAGCAAGAGGCCGAGGTGTTAAACGAGCACAGAACCGCCGTGTTTACTGTCAGCATGACGTTCTTTTCTGGATAAACTAATTGTTTTTTGGCAAAGTGCTCTTTTTTGGTCAGCTCTGCTATTTTTTGTCATTGGCGCCATTTTTCCTCAGTATTAATATTTAATCATGAACAATGAGCGTAACAACTTTGGATGACATTTGTCGGGTCGACCACCGACAAGAATCCCCACTTTATTTTTATTTGTAAATAATGAAATGACTGCATTTTATCTTTTGATTTTGTAGCACGTTGTGAGAAATGTCAACGACTCGTTCCTCATCCGTTTTTGAATTTGTTTTTTGATTGTTGTTGAGATCTTGTAGCCTACTTCATGTTGTCAGACAGGTTCTGTTCCATTGATTTATAGATTCTTCGTAATCAGGTCTGAGTGTCGCTAATGAAACTGAAATGAAAAAATTGGAAAATCATAATTTAACAAGAGGGGCGATTATAATAACACATGGGACCAAGACTAGTTTGGGAAGTTTTCTTACCTTTTATTTAAAAACATTTTTTTGTTTTACTCTCGTAAATTCCTCTAGCACACTGCAAAAACACAAACCCACCAAGTATTTAGTCTAGTTTCTGACAAAACTAACTTACAAATAACTTTTCATCAAAATATACAAGCTTGTTGTAAGAAAATAATTCCTAATATTGCTAAATATTATAATAATAATAATAATAAATGTATTGCTAAATATTAGGAATTATCTGCAGATTATTTTAATTATAACAAAAGTAAATAATATTCCAGTGGTACTAGCTATTATTTACTAAGAACAAGCTCATATGCCAAAATGTTTTTTGTGAATTAGTTTTATCTTATTCAAGTTCTAAAATACTTTATTGATCCCAAAGGAAGTTAAATAAATATTAAATATGTAAACATGTTTGCACTAGAAACAAGACCAAAGATACTTCAGATTTTGAGTTTTTTCAGTGTCTAATGTGGGTTTATTACACAGCCCTGTTGAGAAAGACTCCACACTAAATCTTGTTGGTCACAGCTTTTTAAATACAAGGAGAAAACAAAGAGAATCACAATAATAATAATAATAATAATAAATGTGTTTGGTAAAACTGTGATTCCCATTCTCGCTCTGGATGTGTGACCGATGAAAGAAAAGGCTGACAAAGTGTTTATTTCCATCCAACACGCAGCTCCGTCCGTAACGAGCCACAATCAGACACGCAGCTGCATTGACGGCGTTACAGCAAAACAGATTACAGGGATGTTTGTGGTTTGTGTTGGCAAACCAGACACACAAATCCAATTTTGCTGCTGCTGTGGAGGTCACCGGGGATCCACGCACCCGTAGAGACCACCGGAGGATGTGTGACTCTGGGATTTATTGGCCTCTTCTGGAAAATGAGGAATTGTGTTTGTGACAAATCCAGAGTCATCACGTCATCCTGTGCCATCTGCTGGTGCGCCGTCAGACTTGCCTGCAGCGCGCTGCGTACCTCAGCTGCCCTGCCTTATATAAGCTGCCAGTGTGCCAGCAAGCTTTTTTTTCATTTTACTTCTTTTTTTCTCCAACTGCTTCATCCCACTGTTCCCAGGAAATGGAAAAGACTCAACAAGGCAGGTGTGTGTGGGAATAGAATAGAATATACTTTATCCACCCCCAAAGGGAAATTACTTATTCGTTGACAAGCTACTCCATCTACGGAGTTAAATATTAATAATATAAATATAACCATAAGAAATAAAGTTTATAAAATAAATACAGCTCTGGAAAAAAAAAATAAGAGCCCACTGCTCTGAACCCAATTAAAAACCTTGTGGTTATTCCACCAAATATTGATTTCTGAACTCTTCCTGAGTTAAAACATTAGTGTTAAGTCTAATGGCTCCAGGCAGAAATGACTTCCTGTGCCTCTCCTGGTCCATTTTGGTAAAATGAGTCTCTGGCTGAAGAAAAGAAGAAATGGAGCGATGGAGAGCAGGTCTGCCAAGAGGCTCCAGCATATGGCGGCGATGACGTTAGTATGGTGTTAGGATGGTGTCTGCACACAGGACTGAACGATGGCTCAGACCAAATCCTCACAAACTGTATCCAACACACACATAACACACACTCTCTGGCTCGTCTTACCTCATAATCAGTCTCCTCACTCTCCCTGCCCGATCTGCCCCATCTCTCCTGAGAATGGGAGGGGTAAAGGTAAAGAGCAGGATTATGCAGTCAGTTGCTAGCTTATTTTAGCTCTGACTGACAGCTGCTTTCTGTCAGGTGTGCTGCTGTTTCTGAGAAGAGATTAATCTGCAGTTCAGCATTTAATACTGTATGTGGTGAGCATTTGTCTCTGTTAAATTAAATTAAATGTTACTGAAAATACCTTAACTGAGCGATGACAATCGGTTGCTGACTGAGCTAGCTTCAGCTATTTTGTATTGCTAGCCACTTCTACTTACCAGGGTAACGATGATATCAATCTCATTGTCGATGGTTTCGGCTGTCAAAATGGCAAGTTCTTCTAAGCTGCTTCTGTGACTTCAGGCGCAGATGGTTTATTTAAAAAGTAGCTTGTTTTCTCGTCATTTTCATTGTTGTAAACATTTAAAACTCTCAGACTGCTGCGTTTTTCGATTCCACTCTGTCGGACGTTTTCCCCTCCATGTCCTCAGCCAATCAGAAAGGAGCAGCTGAATAAGAAACCAATCACAGAGCAGGGAGCCATGCGCTCAGCCAATAGCGGTGAGCCTAAGATTTAATGGAAAAACCGATAAGTTTACGTCAGCAGATGACAGGTTAAACGTTATATACTCTCTGGACACGCACAGATTATCACATAATTTGGGACTTTGATTCAAACTGGCCTATTATATGAAATCTGAAGCGAACTGGGTGCCCAAATTTTGTATTTCAGGGATCTTGGAGAAAAGGAGGCTAGATGCAAATGCATACCAAACATTTGACATTTACATTTTTAATAAAAAAATAAAAAGTTAAAAGTGAACCATTTTCCTTTCTCTTCCCAGTTTTGCACTGCTCTTTGTTGTGTAACTCTAAAACATGAATAAAATACATTTACAAGTTTTAGGCTGTAAAATTATAAACTGTAGGAAAGTTCTAGTAATGTGAATATAGTAAATTCAATTGGGTAGGCTAAAGCTCTGATGTATTTAGTGAAATAGTGTCACTGTTTTTAAATTATTTTATACTGTTTTATTATTGTGCATATGCATTAATTAATTTTATTTTGTAATCAGGTGGCTGTGTATTGCAGATTTCTGTCCAGGTCCCTCTTGGAAGTGAGATCCGATCTCAACGGGGTTTACCTGGTTAAATAAAATAAAGGAAAAGGAAATGTTTTGTTATGCAAGACTTCATCTCGTGAACTGGGTCTACCTTTTTGGTGTTGAGTGATTGAGGATTAGTGCATTCCTGGTACACGGTGTCACCAAAACATGTTCTCTTCCTGTTATTGGGGCATGCCATTAGCATTACGTAGGGAGGAGCAGTGACTGCCTCTTCCCTACGTAATGCATGGCAGGCACCTATTGTTCTACACCCAATAGAATGTCTCTTTATTTATGTCTTTATTATTCTTCTGTCACCTTTAATGCGGCTCGTACGGCTGCGTGCCCACCCACAAAAAAGGTATCAAAACGTGCGGCTCGATCATGGTATCCGAGCTATTATTTTTATTGGGGATCAGAGTTACGACGGCGATGTAAAGCGAAAAACGAGCAAAATTTCCAACTGCCGAAACGTAGAGTGAGAAACGGAGTGAATTTTTTACCCCAAAGTAATTTTGAAATCGCTCTCATGGCTGCAAAAATTGCTCTATTGGTATGAAAGTCGGTCATGACATTGATACGCATGCCTGCTCCCATAAAATGTTTTCAAAATGTCCCTAGGGCTGATGGTTTTCTGTCAAGGTGCTTCAGAGTGAATTCAAGTGTCATGTGGCTCTGCAGTGTGGCTGGATTCAACACAGTACAGCGTTTAGCTGTAATGTTTGGCATGTCTAACAAAACAGATGAGTAGCGAAGCCAACGTGCTGCAGAAAGATGTGATGTTTTTAGTTCAAGCAAGATAATGGAAACAGAAAGAGGAACATAAACAGCCAAAGGGCTGTAACCTACGATGAGGCTAAAACAGCTTTCTCTGCTATATTCCTCACGGCAGTCCTTTAAGACAACTGCCAGGTTAAGCATTTTACCCAAGACATCCTCAGGTCTCTTCTGCTATCACAGCTGCGGAAACATCTAAACATTATTTCTGTTTACAGAAATACAAAAACACAGCAGATTAATCAGTAAATAAATGGTCAACAGTATCATCAGTTCCATCAAAAATGAAATGAAATAAGGCTAAAAACCAAATTTTCTGTAACAGTCTCTCACCTGCTTCACAGCTCTGTAGCTCTACTCACTCCACCTGAGCCTCCATGTAATATTCATGATGGCATTGGAGAATGTAGAAAAAGATAGAAAAAGAAAGCATGAGAGAGCACAGAAGCAGACTTTCCTCTCATCTTCTTCATTTCCTCCCACTGTCCCTCAATCACAAAGCAATGAAACCAAATGCTCAACAAAACTGATAGATTGTTATGTAAACAGCAGTTCAGTGCATTTCAGTGTGTGTAACCAGAAGAAGAAAGAAGAGAGCCTGCTTCAGAAACAGCAGTCCTCTTTTGGATTTAAACGCACGCGACGCAGTGACGTTCGCTTTGAAGCCGAATCCTGAGGCGCATTTGACAGACAGTGATCCTACAACATCTTACGCTCTGGTGGAGATGAGTGACTCAGGTGCTTGTGAGGCCGTATCGCTGCCTGTCAGGGCCACGTTTAAGTCTCCCCTGTGTGAAATGGGTTTGTTGTGTAATCTGGCGCTGCTGCCTGCTACAAGCCAAGTGAACTCCGTTCATTCATAAAAGCTGAACTTGTAGAGCAGCACTAATGTGGCTGCGGCAACCCAGAGTTTGACACCAATGTTTTGTTGCGTAAGAGGGAAGAGGTTTGAACTAGCTTGAAAAGACATCAGGTGTGAGCTGGTGAAATTAAAATCAAACCAGAAACAAAATGTGTTTTTTGGGGTCTTTATTCCCAGAATTAATTATTAAACACAATTTGGAGAAGTGCACAAAATAAATATTAAACCGTTTATCATCAGTGGCCATGCTAACTAGCCTAGCATTCACCCCAAGCTATGCTATCTGCTAAAAGATAGAAGGTTGTCATGTGAGTAGAGTACAGTTATTCATTCCTAAGAGTTCGTCCTCTGTGGCGTCTGAGTTTTCAGTGGTTTGCTGGTTGAGTAGTTTTTGCTCTTTGGATTTCCTTGTCAGTATGAATTAGTAATGACAACAAAAACCGGAGGGATAAGGAAGTAACGTCTACAACAGACGATTCCCACTGTTTCTAAGGTATGCTGCATAATCTGGAGCAAAGATACGGCTCTATAATTCCTGCACTGCTCACTTTCTCACACGGATATATCTCTTAATAATTGATGTAGGTCAGGAGTATTGGGGCTGCAGAATAACTAACAAACTGCAGTGTCTCTGTGCTTCGAAGGATTTGTGAGAAATATATGAATATTCCCTTTTAAGTTTGTGTGGCAGGTGGCAAACTACAACAAACACATCATCAAGAGATGAAACGCTAAAAAGTGTTTAGGGAGATAAAAAATAGATGATTTTATTATTTATGTAGACTGCACTCAGGATAAATGTACACTCAGCTCCTGAGTGTACATGTACAGCAGCACCGCCTCAAAGGAGATCCGCATTCAAATTAAAGATGAGAGGAATTTTACCCTTCGGGCCAAAACTAACAGAGACCAGCGCAGGCTCTTGAATTTCTGCTGTTGCAGCTTCACCTCAGAAAGAAAACTCATTTTAAATGAACATTTGAGAGTCTTTACACTTCAGAGAAAGCTGAAAGCTGTATGATTTCAAGAGACGTGGTCCAGGTTACAAATTCGACCTAATGCAACAAAATCAACGCTTTCATGGGTTTCAGACACCGTCACTCGCTCCATGACTCTCCTCAGCTCTATTTTGGTGTTGACTGTCTGCTTTTCCGCCTGACTGGCAAAAGGCCGGGATGAAAATCAGCAGGATAATTGCAACACCATGCAAGCAAAGGAGAGGCTGCAAGGAGATTACACCAGAAGACAATTTCCACAACACCTCAGTTAGTCCTTCTTCTCTGGATATTAGCCATAAAATCAATTATTACACTGGAATTTAAAGATGCAGGATGTCAAAAAATGTTGTTTTTTTGATCTGTGAAAAGACCTTGCTGTCTGAAGAAATGCCCCACTGCTGATGGAAAAAAAACAACAATCAGAGCCAGGAGGGGGGACGTAGCGTTGTCAATCATCCTACAAATCTGGAACAAACTTCCTGAAAACTGCCAAACAGCTGAAACACTGACTTCCTTTAAATCCAGACTCAAAACCCAGCTGCCTAGAGTTGCTTTTAAAACATGATAAATGTCACAGTAATAAATATTTTGATATGTAATAATGCCACTAGACAAAATGTTGTTGAATATGTGTTTCATGACTTTGTATTTTTGTGTTTTTATGATGCAAAGCTCTTTGAACTGCCTTGTTGCTGAAATGTGCTATAAAATAAACTTGACCTTGAACTTGAACTATTCACTGCTGTGTTAAAGGCGGAGAAACAATTTACTGTTCCAGGAAAATGGTTTATCCGCCTTCATTGGTGTCCATGCTAGCTGGTCTAGCATTCACCACATCAGGAAGAAGCTGCAGCTCAGCAGAGAGAAAAGGGGTTGGAATGAGCACAGCCACAAGATTGTGATTGACACCACTAAGCCCCGCCTTCTGGCTTTGATTGGGTGTTTCCAGTTGGCATTGAGAGACACAGAGGAGCTTAATTTTCTTTTCACAAATTATCTGTGTCATATCAGACTGTCTCAACGTAGTGACAGTTTCAACCAGAGGCACCTGCAGGATATTATAGGAGGGAACTAATATTATCACTGCACAATCTCATCCCCAAGACATCACACGCATCATGTGCATGTCGCAAAGAAAATCACCACACAGGCCATATGCACATAAAGCACATGGTCCACAAAAACTAATCTAATCTAATCTAAACTAACCTAATCCACTTTGGGGTTTTTTTTTGTTTTGTTTTTATGTTGTTTTTTTTTTACAAAATATACTAAATAATAAAGACAGGAAAGCAAAGCCTACCTGTGTGATCCATGGTGTGGAGGTTGAGGTTCCCTGGTTCAGGTGGTGTATCAGACGTCCAGAGGAGGAGAATGTGGAGCAACAACGTTTGCTTAATTTCTACTATTTAACTGATTAAGCCGCAGTCTTAGCGCATGCTCAGGATGAGCGCAGCAGATGTCACGGTCGGCCAACTGGGTGATCCGTCAGCTCCTCAGTTTGTGAAATCACAAAAAAAAGCTCATAAACCGGTGACACAGAACCGCACACGGTAAAAAGTTCAAGCAGGGATCACACAACTCCTCTTTGAACTATGAGAGGATTCAAACTCAGCTTATTTGTTTTAGCGCCAAGCTGCGAAATAAACAAAAGTGAACTGACCATTTACGTTAAGACAGACATGTGACCACCTCCACAGAATTTACTACATTTTGTTAATAGTAAAAAGGGTTAGACAATAAAAAAAATCCAGTAACTTCTTTTTTACTTATAGAAAACTCTCAAGGTACGCACAGCTATACAGCTGCAGGGGCTGCTGGTTTCAATAATTTTGTAGAAAGATATTTTTAAAGGTTACATACTGCAGCTCTAACTTCTGTATTCGCTCTGTCTTCTCTCTGTTAGGTGTCTGTCTGGTGCTGGGTTGTATGATCTATCCTGATGGCTGGGATAGCGATGAAGTGCGACGGATGTGCGGAGAGCAGACGGACAAATACAGCCT